GTGGGTTAGGATTTTCTTTTTGAAGCATAACATCTAATGGTCTTTGAATCATTGGACTGGAACCTTGAACTACGTTTTTCTTCCCCCCACCAATCTTGACTGAGTTTGGATTACTTGCCATTTTAAATAGACTCTCCCACCACTTATTCTTCTTCCAAAATGTCCGCTTTCCACTTCCCTCTTAGTGTGGGAAACAGTCAAGATAGGTTGGAACAGGGGAGAAGTTTAGCTGAGGCGAAGGAATTAAGAATTACCAAAAGTACAAAGTTACGACAAAAGCTGAATAATGGGAGAGGAGTATAAGATTTGGTCAACAAATATTAGAGGGTTGAATGTACCAGCAAAACGTAGGAAGGTTTTTAATAAACTTCTTAAATTGAATGTGGACATTATAGCTTTACAGGAAGTTCATATAAAATCTGGCCAAGAATCTCTATTAGAATGACCTAAATTAGGTCGATTATATGTTTCACTTGATCGGGGGAAAAAAGGGGTGTTGCTTTGTATGTTAAGCAGAATATAATCTCGAAACAAATATATAATGATAAAGAGGGCAGGGTTCTGATCATTGAAGTTAAGCTTAATAAAAAGAATATAATTTTTGCTGTAATTTATGCTCCAAATGGTGCTCAGGTATCCTTTTTTAAAAAATCTATACAATAGGCTGAGAGATATGGAGGGAGATAGTTTCTGTATAATTGGAGATTTCAATGCGATTGTAGATAAAATTAAAGACCATAAATGCACAGAGGCAATGAAAGGACATAAAAAAATACTTCCCAAAATTTTCTTCGAGATGTGTATGGATCTTAGTTTACAGGATGTTTGGAGAGAGAGGACCGTTGATAAGAGGGACTATACGTATTGTTCCAACAGGCACAGATCATGGACTAGAATAGATATGCTGTGGTGTTCCAAAGAATTAGCCTCAGAAATACAGGAAATACACATAGAACCCAGTCTCTGGGCTGATCATAACCCAATAAATTTAAGCTTGAAAGGTCAAAGATATAGGCCAAGATGGACCTTTCAAAGAGGGATTCTTAAGGAAAAAGAATTTAGAGAAAGTATGGAGAAAGAAATGCATCTTTTCTTTCAAGTGAATGATAATGAGGACACATCTTTGCAGAATCTTTGGGATACGGCTAAAGCATATTTGAGGGGGGTTATTATTTTGTATACGTCTAAGAGAAATAAAGAAAAACAGCAATATAAGATGAGGCTTGAAGCAAACTATAAACAGGCTGAAATATTACTCCAGAGAGATCCTGGAAATAAAGGATTAAAAATAAAAATGGATTTAATTAAACACAAACTTAACTTAGAGGAATCGGAAAAATACACACAAAAATTACAGGCAGCTAACCAAAAGAATTTTCAGCATGCAAATAAATCGGGATGATGGCTAGCGTATAAATTAAGACAACAGAAAGCGGAATCATGGATTACTAATCTGGTAGATGAAACTGGAGAAATCCAGGGGGAGGAGACCGTAAAAAGGGGCATTGCTCAAAGATTTTACAAAAATTTATATAAGAGTAATGAGGGAAGAAGCGTGGAACAGATAACAGAATATTTGGTAAAGGCAGAGCTGCCAAAAATACCGAAGGAAATAAAATCTATGTTAAATGAGGAAATAAGCATGTCTGAATTAATTAGGGCTATAAATAGACAAAAAAATTAATAAGGCAACAGACCCAGATGGAATACCTGCTGAATTATATAAAAACTTGCAGAGTGTTTTTAATCAATATCTATTAGAGGTCTTTAATGCAGTACTTATTGAAGCTAAAATACCTAAGTCCTGGTTAGAGGCAAATATAACACTGATTCCAAAAGCAGATATGGAAAAAATATGGATACAAAATTATAGACCCATATCTTTATTGAATTCAGATTACAAAATTTTTGCTTCAATAATGGCGGAGAGATTTAAGAAATATTTACTAGATTTTATACACCTGAATCAAAACGGCTTCTTACCAAATAGACAGATTAAACAGAATATGAGAACAATCTTAGATATTCTAGAATTTTATGAATCACACAATGATCAGCAAGTGGCACTTCTGTTTTTGGATGCTCAAAAGGCTTTCGATAATGTTGATTGGCAATTTATGATACAACAATTAAAATTAATGGAAGCCGGAGGAAATTTTTTAAATGTTATAACTGCAATATATTCCAAACAATATGCGCAGATCATAATAAACAGGGTGGCAACAGATAGATTTAACATACAGAAAGGCACTAGACAGGGATGCCCCCTCTCGCCATTGCTGTTTATTTATACTCTAGAAATTCTTGTTAGAGCGGTAAGGCAAGAAGAACAGATTAGAGGATTTAAGATTAAGAAAGAAGAATATAAACTTCAGGCTTATGCAGATGATCTAGCATTTATTCTGGAAGACCCAGAACACTCTGAGCAGAAATTATTTGAAATTTTAGAAGATTACGGAGATTATGCAGGTTTAAAAATAAACAAAAATAAAACAAAGATTATCACTAAAAATATGACTGATATTCAAAAAAGATTCCTCGAGGTTAAATTAGGTATACAAGTAGTTTCTAAATTTAAATACTTAGGGATAATCATTTCTGCACGTTGTTCATCACTTAAAGAAGATAATTATGTTAAATTAATGCAAAAAATTAAAGTTGATCTAGAACGTTGGAAAAAGTTACACCTCTCGTTACTTGGGAGAATTGCTGCTGTAAAAATGAATATCCTACCCAAATTGATTTTTTTGTTTCAGAATATTCCAATTTTCTTGGATAAAAATTTCTTTAAGGAGTTAAATAAAATAACTTTAGAATTTGTATGGGCTGGTAAAAAGGCTAGAATAAAATTAAAGGTTTTACAGGATGCCAAGGAAAGGGGTGGTTTAGGCTTTCCTGATTGGGAATTATATTACCTGGCTGCGGCCCTATCTTGGATTAGTGATTGGATAACCTTAAAGAATCAAAGATGTATTCAGTTAGAGGGTTATGATCTTCAGCAGGGATGGCATGCTCATATGTGGAAGGGGCAAAATAGAAATTACCAATATTTTTTAAAACACAAGGTCCGGCAAGGATTAATTAAAAGTTGGAATACTGTCAAATCTCAATACTACACAAAGATTCTGACTTGGTTATCACCATTGGAGGCAGTTATATACCCAAATTTGTTCAGGAAAGATAAGGTTATTAGGTACAAAGATATTTTGACAGAAGAGGGTCTTTTAAAATCGAAGCAAGAGTTAAGACAATATGGAATAGAGATAGAATGGTGGTCCTATCTCCAGATCCAAGCAAGATATCTGAAAGATAAACAGGAATGGGGTATTTATAGACAAGATATGGGTCTAGATAAAATTTTGCTTGGTCCGGAAAAAAAACAAATAAGGAATATTTATAAGCACTTATTGGAATACAGGTTATTTGAAGAACAGGTTAAAGAAACAATTGTGACATGGGCGATAGATTTAGGACACAACATCAATTTGGATCAATGGCAGCAGGTGTGGATGCAAAATAATAAAATTACATTGGCGTCATCATACAAAGAAAATTCATATAAGATGATTTACAGATAGCATCTCCCTCCAGCAAGATTAGCCAAAATGTACAAAGGATACTCATCATTATGTTGGAAATGTAAAAAAGAAAAGGGCACATATTTTCATGTTTGGTGGCTATGTAAGGAAGCACAGAGATATTGGCATATGGTTTGGGAATGGGTAACAGAAATGAGTATACAAAACATCCAGTATAAGCCTGAGACATTGTTGTTAAGAATTCTTGAAAATAATGTTAGTAAAGAAGATATATATATTTATTCACTCACTTTACAGCAGCAAGAATTGTATTCGCTCAAAATTGGAAAGCTACAGCTATACCTAGTGAGGAAATCTTAATTCATAAAATTATGCACTGCGCAGAATTAAATAGGTTAACTAAGAGACTTAAAAATCAGGATGAAATGGATTTTTACCAAATTTGGAATAAATTTTATAGATGGTGGGGGGAAAAATATGGAAGTCATTGTAATGAGATAAATTAAGATTGAGATTAGAGTGATGTTATTGTAAAGATTTTTTTTATTAGTAGTTAATTGTGAATATGAACTGTGATGTATGTCAAATCTGATTTACCATGTTCAATGTTTTTAATTTTTGTTATTCAATAAAAAAATTTTTTTTAAAAAAAGCATTGTTTTTTGTGTGTTTATGTGTGTATATAATAAATCCAGGTTATAAAGAAATGCTGTTGCCAACTTTATCGGCTTCTCTTAAATCTTTCATTTATTTTACTACTAATAAATCTTATATTTGTTTGTTCATCAGTAGCCAGAATAGGTAGGAGAATTTCTTTGGACTCAAATGTGCTTCCTTGTGGCTTTGTTCCAGCAGATAATATATAGTGAAATTCCTGAGAATCAGTCCTAAGCTGGAGCTTTTATGCATCACAATTTATTGCCAAGATTTTAAGGACCTGAATAGTCAAGCCTGACCTCAAAATTACAAAATGTTTACAGGGAGAAAAAAAGAAAAAGAATTATTTAGAATCAAGAGATTTAAGTGAAAGACCAATCTTTTAAATAACGTAGGCAAGATGAGGCAATGCAGAATTATTTTATTACTATTTTGACCAGTGGCCTGAACAATCATAAGAAAACAGTATTTATTCCGCTCTTTATTTCCCTAAGCTGATTTAGGCTTCAAATGGCCCATTCTTATGTGAGTTGTTTCCCTTCCATTTGCTGCCCCTAGGCCATGGAATGAACCAAATATTATAAATGTTTCAAATGAATTGAATCGTTAAACTGAGGATGGCATTCAAGATGAATGCCTCAATATACTCAGAAACTGTCAATTGCAAGGCTGCAAAAACTGCTGGAGATGTGGAAAGATTTTCGGACAAGAGCAGTGATAGATACATTCAGAATTCCACACATTCCACATTCTTGAAGGCTAAACAATTCTTAACATACTAGAAGGCAGTAGAGCATTACTTACCATATCATGATCTGAAACAGGACCAAAGCTGGTAACAAAGATGTCAGTCTTCACTGCAGTTACACGCTCTGATGAAGCAGGAAATTGGGACAGTGAATGCCTATCATTAACTTTCTTTAAATTCAAACAACATATTCTCTTGTTCCAGCAGAAAACACATTTATTTTTATTAAAGATACTAAAAGGAGGTGATAACTTTGTATTAGATGCTTTACATGTACAATCTCCAGGCTGTCCATCTAGACTTATGAAAGACTTGTAAAACCCTGCAGAGAGCTGTTACTAAGCTACTGCATGTATATCACACAGAACTGGAGAGACCAACAGTTTGATGCAACTATAGATGTTCGTAGTTCATCCACATCAATATTTAATCAGTTAAGCTTAGATCCATAAAATCATCTGCAAACTATGTGTGAACTTTTGCACATTGTACACATTTGTTCTTGGAAGAAATTCTATTTTGAAAAAAATCTTCTCAGAAGGAACCCTCAAAGCTTTGTACAGGTCCTATGATCACAACAAAGACCAAAATTCCCTTTGCTAAGTGAGGTGGTTCTTAAGTGAGTTGCACTTCATTTTATGATCTTCTTTTACCACAGTTCCTAAGCAAAAACACCGCAGTTGTTGAGTGAATCACATAGTTCTTAAGTGAATCTGGCTTCCCCCCCCCCATTGATTTTGATTGTTGGAAACTGGACGGAAAGCTTACAAATGGTGAGCATGTGACCTTGGGATAGTGCAATCATCGTAAAGGTATGCTAGTTGCCAAACACCCGAATTTTGATCATATAACCAGTGGGGATGCTGCAAGAGTCATACGTGTGAAAAACATTCATAAGTGACTTTTTTCACAGCTATTGTAACTTTGAATGGTCATTAAATGAATCATTGTAACTCAAGGACTACATGTATAGTCCCCCAGATTTAGAACTCAATTTGGTGATTCAGAGGAATATCCTCTAAGTCTAAAACAAAGGTCAGTGGAATGTATATAATCCTTTCCCCATAACACTCTTGGAAGAAAAAGTAAACAAACAGCCGTATCATAGTTACAGTCTGGTTAGGAAAGCCATATTAATGCACCAATAATTCAGTATGCTATTATATAAACTGAAAACTTGAGAAAATGAGGACTTCAATATCTGTCCAAACATTAAAGAAAGATGCCAATGTACCATCGCCAACAGTGACTGTAATATATTGTTTTACTTTATTGCTCTCAGGACCAAACATAAGAATGATGCTGAAAAGGCACTGTGATGGGACAATCTCTGAATTAGCCATCCAATAAAATTGTTATGGTCTAATCAAATCTCCCTATAAGGTCATTAGAGGAAGAGATTTCTTAAAATTGAATTAGGTTGTGATCAGTGGTGGTTATAAAAGATTAACTGTTGCTATTGATTTATCCTGGCTTTTTTTCCCCATTCTTAATGAAGCTGAAATTCAACTATACCCACTACATATGTATTTGCATTCAGAATCCCCATCTAACCACCCCATCTCACCATGAGGCTGAAAATAAAAATCTTTATGTCTTTTTATTTCTCTACTGTACTGGATTTCACACTAGAGCCCTTCTACAGCTGAAAAAGTGCTCTGGCATGGAGAACTGGAAGCAGCAACCAGTGGTTCCATGCCATATTTCGAATATTACTTTTTTATAACTTTCCAATAATGTAGATTAAAAGTAAAATGAAACAGGTATTATTCGGTTGCAACTGGCCATCTTGTAGACAGATCATCCAGAAATTTCTTTAAATAGAAGTTTCATTGTGTACAACCATATTCACTTCCTGGAAGCTACATATGTATCATCAACTTTGATGTGGATTAAATTTCTGTCTCATTTTGTAAAGAAATTTCCTTCCTTTAACCAACTCCAAATCTATCACTTTCCTTAAAAACTTATTTTTTAATCCAACTGTTCTTTCTTAGTTTATAATTTCTTTTTTTATAATTTCTTTTTAAAATTGTATTTAATTAGTTATTTTATATATGACAATTCATTTTCAAACAAATATACGAAAATAAAACTGAACAATACCCTATTTTAAAGAAGAACAAAACCCAATACAATAACACTAATAAAACTTAGCAAAAGAAAAAAAAATACTTATAATTAAAATATATCCCAAGTGCACCAGATTTATAAATCTTCAAAAGATGAAACAGCTTTCAAGATTCACACAGCCTGTCCAATATTTTTTTTTCCCAAAAGGAAAGATAATGTGACATTTTCTGATTGACAGAAAATAAATATTTCTCAAAAATTGCTAGGTCACACATCTCTAAAATCAAATCCTTTATATCTGCAGCTATACTATTTTTTCCATCTCCTAAGAATTATTCCTTTTGCTATTCCTAAAGCAGTGGTTCTCAACCTTTTTAATACCGCGACCCCCCACCGGTCGTAAATTGAGGACTACTCAACTGGTCGTAAGTCGAGGACTACTCAACTGGTGCAGCACTGTTTGCAGAATGGGACTTTTGGCAGGCTCAGCAGGGCAGAGACAGCCTGGACAATTCCTATTGGCTTTTGAAAGCCAATAGAATTAGACTCTATTCAAGAGAGTCTATTCTATTGGCTTTCAAAAGCCAATAGAATAAAAGGGAGTAGCACAGCTAAGGAAAAGGGGGGAAAAAATGGCGGACTGCATTGTTTGGCGACCCCCGTGAAATGGTCGTTCGACCCCAAATGGGGTCCCAACCCACAGGTTGAGAACCACTGTCCTAAAGCATGAATGACCTTTGTTCAGAACATGTTAACTTTCATGAAGAAGGTATATAATGTAATGCAATCAGTGGGGGGATTCAAATATGAACAACCGGTTCTCTGTGTGGATGCTGCTTCCGGAAGTCCGTTCTGAGCCTGAGCAACAAAAAATTAACCACCGGTTCTGGTGAAGTGGTGCAAACTGGCTGAATCCCACCACTGAATGCAATACATATTACTTTAAAAATCCAAGTTTCCCCAATATTTTTCTTTACTTATTTATTATATAACATTATACAAAAGGGGTATGTAGAAAAACGTTAGAACTTTCTAATTTCAGATTTATACTCTTGGGCTAAAATGTCATAATAGTGAGGCAGTGGCAGGGAAGTGTTTGTTTGTGGTTTGTTTGTTTGTTAAGGCACACGGTGCCCACAAGTTTTATCTGCATTGGTTCCTTCTTTTTCTCCTCTTGCCTTGCCCATCCAGGATGAATGCAACCAACTCTTTTCCTCTTGTTCTTCTCTGCTTCCACCTCCCTTTCCTTTCTGAATGCAGAGTTTATAGTCCCTGGGATAAATCCACCGAGATAGTTTTTAACTTCTGCTATTGTGGCATTTCAATCTAACTCAAATTGTAGCTCTGTTGATTTCAGCCACAATGTACAACACTCTTTGTTCTTGATATTTTTTTAATACTGCAACAAGTTCTTTTTTGAAAAAGCAGAATTTCTTGTTTTGTGTACAAAGGAGTGCACATGAGCCTCAACACGTGCAGGTTAACTGCACTTAGAGACTGAAGAATGGGTGGGGTTTCCATAAACAAATGCTTTCCACTGCTTCAGGAGAGTTGCTTGCTACTTCACAGTCCTAAGATCATCTAGACCAGTGTTTCTCAACCTTGACAATTTTAAGGCATGTGGACTTCACCTCCCAGAATTCCACAGCATTGCTGGCTGTGGAATTCTGGGAGTTGAAGTCCACATGCCTTAAAATTGTCAAGGTTGAGAAACACTGATCTAGACCAACCTGCACGAGACAATAATACTTTGCTTTTTTGTATCTGATTGCTGCTTCACATACCCAAGGCAGCCCAAAGAGGAAGAGTATACAGAGAACAACCCATTGACAGCTTCCTGTTATCCTCCAGAAAACAAATGATAGGGTTCTCTTTACTCCTGCTCAATGAACTCATAAACTGGGAAAACCAGTTTTGTATCCAAATAGTAGTAGTAGTAGTAGTAGTAGTAGTAATCATCATCATCATCATACTAAAGTGGAAAGGATCCTGGAGGTCATCTAGTCCAACCCCTGCTCAGGCAGGAAGCCCTATACCATTTCAGACAATTAGCTGTCCAGTCTCTTCTTAAAAACTTCCAGTGTTGGAGCATTCACTGCTTCTGGAGGCAGGTTGTTCCACTGGCTAATTGTTCTAACTGTCAGGAAGTTTCTCCTTAGTTCTAGGTTGCTTCTCTCTTTGGTTAGTTTCCATCTGTTGCTTCTTGTCCTGCCATTAGGCACTTTGGAAAATAGCTTCACTCCTTCTTCTTTGTGGCAGCCCCTGAGATATTGGAATACTGCTATCATGTCCCCCCTCGTCCTTCTCTTCGTTAAATTAGACATACCCAATTCCAGCAGCCATTCCTAATATGCTTTAGTTCCCTAATCATCTTTGTTGCTCTTCTCTGTACTCTTTCTAGAGTCTCAACATGATTAGGCCATTTTGAAAAATCAAGCAACAAACAATGTTTTGGAAAAGAAGTTAGAGCATATTGTGAGATTCAGGTTCAAGTCCCCACTCAACCCTACTCAATACTTAAGTCACTTTGGGACAAATTTGGGGGTATTTCTTTCAGCCTAAACTCATTCAGATGTGAGAGGAAGAAAAGCAGAACATTAATTTCTTGTAATTGGTCAAAGTTGGAATTGTTGCCAATAGGTAAAAATCCCTTCATTAATTCATACAGCACTTATAAGTTCCTTATCTGCAATGAATATATTAACTATCTTGGGGTTTTTATTTCACAGATGATTAATTTAAATGTGAACAAAATGTATTAGGAAACCTCTTTGGATCTTGATAGATAGTAGTCTTTAAATTTTACCCTTTAGGCAAGGTTAAGCCTCTTAAAATGAATATGTGTTCCTAGAATGTGATACATTTGCAATGGAATTGCTATGCACATAATTGCAGAGAATTTTCAAAATTTTAATACAACGTGTGATATTTTATAGGAATGTTAAAGATACTTTTAAAAAAAGATGCAGATATAACAGAATAACAGAGTTGGAAGGGACCTTGGAGGTCTTCTAATCCAACACCCTGCTTAAGTGGGAGACCCTATACCAT